CCCTCACCTCTGCCAGAGGATAAACAGTGTTTACATTACCAATGAGGAGCAAGAGCACCCAAGCTCCAGAGAAAATGTCAGACCCTCTGGCAAGTCTGCCAGTCAACCAACAATTCCTGGACCTGCTCCAAGGGCCAGACACGACACACTGAATCACGGAGGAGATTAAAAATGAACACGACCCGATTTCTGCCCTCAAAGAGCTCCCAGTCTTCAGGCTGGAGCGGTGGAAGGAGATGAGCCACAGGGTGCTGGGGCCACAGAGCAGGCAGCCCTTAATTGTGCCTGGGAGAGGCAAGGAAAGACGCTGACATCAGCCAGGCCAGAAGGGACGCCTGGACTGTGGAGGGGTCAGATACCAGTAAGGCATGAAATTTAACCTGGAAATAACAAACAGCCAACTGAGAATTATTTTTTAAGGAGGAGACTGCAGCATTTATCTCAATAATCCCATACCTGCAACCTTTGATGAAACTTGAAATATTACGAATATAGTGGCAAAGAAAAATTATGTTTGTCCATGGCAGAGAGTAGAAATTTATTCCTTAAACATGTACACCTGCAACACCAGATTAAATAAACTTCTAGATGAAAATCAGCTCTTACACGAGTTTTGCCGTGGTAAGCCACTTTACAGAGGATATGATACTTTGGGTTATTTGTGGCATTCTCAAATGCTTCACATCTCGGTAAAGAGAACACACGCTTGGGATGGTTTGCACATATGGCTTGTGGGACTATGAATAACCGGGAGCCGGGTTTCTATCTCTTAAGGAGCTGGAGAGCCAATGCTGAGGTCAGATCAGCTCAGCTCCTCTCTCTCGGGCAGTGTCCTACACTTTCTGGGCCTCAGAGGTGGCATCTGTGTCCTGGGACTGCTGCCGGATGAATCGAGATGATACAGGGTAAGCAGCTGGCACTCTGCTGTACGCTGATGCTCCACAAAGCAGCTGTACCATGGGATTAAGTGGGCCCCCGGCCCTGTCTTCCCAGGTCCCCCAAACGCCAGAGTCCAGGCCTGGAATGCCCCTGTGACAAGTGCCCTCACCAGGGGTTCAGGCAGAGTTCTCCCACCAAGGACGGGCCATTGTGACCTCTCCAGAGCCCTCAGAGGAAGCCACACCAACCACTGGTGGGGTCAGTGGGGAACTTGGTTCCCCTGATCTGCTGCCTCATGAGGGTAGAGGCATGAACGCTGGTTGGGGGCCCCACCACTGCTGGCTGAATGAGCTGGCTGGGCTCTCCTCTGCATCACAGTTCTGCTGCTGGCAAGTTGGATTACAACACGCAATTGCGAAGAGAGGCTTTATCCTTAAAAGAAGAACAAGCTTTATTTAACAAAAAAGGCAGCTAACTCATTTACCTCAACCCCATCAACTCCGGACAGACAGTTTAAAGGAGAACCAGAGGGGAAAACCTAGACAAGCTGTTCACACCGGGGGCAGGCAGGTCGCAGGCTCATCTCTGGGCACGGAGGATACCCGTGCTACAGGGCTACATCTCACAGCATGGCACACCCCTGCGGGACGCCCCAGAAATCTGATCCGGTGAATCTGAAAATGATCAGCAATGCTTCCTTAAACTCCACAGACTTGGGGTAAAAAAATAAATCCCTCAAAGTCTGAAATAAAGATTTGAAAAAAGCACTTTTTTTGGCAAGGTACTGTTTTAAAACAAGACAGACCAAAATCACATTTCCCATGCCTACAAACTGGGTCACAGACCCATTCTTATTTGGGAATCTTGGTGAGCTCTTTCAACTAAAATATGTAAGATTCAGTTCATCGTTAAGAGCTTTTTCCAATCCTGACCTCACTCGAATCACTTTGAAATAAGCAATAGCCAAAATATCCTTCCCTTTGACAAGGCCACTCCCCACTCCAACAGCAAAAGTTCCTGAAGATGCCAGAAAACAGAGAAATTTTAAGTAAATTATGGTACAGCCAAATACTAGAATATCATGCTGACAGGAGAAATCACATCTTAAAAGTTTTTCATAACACTGAAAAATGCTCACATTATGCTGATCAAGAAGTTTTGTAAGTATGACTCCAGTTTTGTGTACGTACAGAGGCGGGAAAAAAACCTAGCTGGATATCTTCTAAAATGCAGACAGTTTTCCCTGTTTGGTGGAACGAGTGATTTTTAAACTATTTGCTACAATGTGCATATACTTTTCCTGATTGGAAATGGTTATATTTTAAAATTCATGAAGATTGACATTTTGCCGCTGTACCATCCTAACCTCCAAGGTTCATAGGCAGGAGCGGATCCGCGTATGTTTCTTAAGGTTACTGTGATGCTCCGGGCGCACACTCAGTTATCGCGCTGGGTTCCTCCCAATGCACCTGCAGTCTCCATACCCCAGGGCAATGCTCTCTGATTCAGTATATGTGAACCCAACCCTACACAACTGCATACAATTGTTTCTGCATAGTTCTCTTCTCATAGAAAAATGTCATCCTGCCACAATTGAGCAGTCCTCTACATTTCCAAAATATCAATGATGTAGACATAAATCACAACCATATCTTAAAACCAGCACAGAGTGGAAGAACATTTCATTGTAACAAATGAACTTACATTTCATTAGAAGGGGCAGTGTAAGGTTCTTGGGGAGGCTGCAGACCTGGGCTCTCTATTCAAATGACCCTTTGGTTCAGACCAGACATCGAATGACCTCAGTCAAATGTTCAGGAGGTCATTTCCCTCCCTGAGCCTCCAACCTCTATAAATGAGGACCATGAAGCCGGCCCACATTCTCTCCCGGGGTTGGCACAGCTACACAATGAGATTATGAATACGTGAGCATCTTTGCTACAGTTCTATACATATGAAAGGTGGTATCATTCTTGATAATAATGCAAAGAACAGAAGCATATTTGAATGGTTCTTAAGCCTCATTAAATTAACAACAGCCCTGACACAATACAAACATTCCTTTTCCTAACAGAAAAATAACAGCATCATCAAAGCCTCAAACAGCATTCATTCACTGATTCTGAGTCTTATTAAAAATGACAAGGATTCCAGCCAAGAAGGGGCCTAAGGTCTCACATCATAAAGGCAGGCATCAAGCTACCAAAAACTATTATCTAGGAATCACACAATTTTTTTTCCTTTTAAGAAAAGAAACATGAAACCACATCCTCTTGCTAGAAAGTCAAATTGCTTTGCTGGAAGTGCTGGAGACCCGAGAGTTCAGCTTCAAGAATGGGAAATGAAAACGAGGCGTCGTGAATCACACTCTCGTGAATCACACTCAGCTAGAGGTCTGTGCACAGCAACAAGGTGCTCTCAGCCAGGTGCCTTCCATACTTGGCACCGGCTTTCAAAGTGTTTCATCAGACTTCTGAGGATGCTGCCCGAGAGCCGGAAAGAGACAACTGAAACAGGCACAGCGCCCCTTCACTTTGATGGCAACGGAACCAGAGCTCAGTCTGGAGGAACATTTCTGCAACATCTCCCGGCCATCAGCAGATGTGTGCAGGTCCACGGCCTCTCATAATAAGTCTTGTCAGAGGCACACTGGAGCCTCTGCCTCTCAAGGAATCTGGAAGCACCTTAAATTGCCAAGAGGGCAACCAGGTGCACTGAGAGCCGGGCCCCACGTAAGCCTGGAGCACTGCTCAGATCCTCTCTGGGAATTAGCGAGTCCCCTGCGGATACAGCCGGCCAATCGGCAGTCTGGCCGGGGCACTATTCCAGTCCATGGGGCTGCCAAATGCCAAGAGGATCAGCACCACAACATCCACCTTCTGCATCTAACTGGCCAAGCGTCAAACCAAGATACTCTGGGGTTAGCAGTTCAGACTGCATAGGGTCAGAACACAGCCCTCCCACCTCCGCTGCCCTCTCACTGGCAGATGGAGGGGAGTTGGGCGACTGCCTGCAGTCAGGCTTTTGGACACACTCCTGCCAAGCCTTGGAACGTTCTCAATGTTCCTCAACAGCGGCCCTACTGGCCTTTGGTTAGGACAGTTCTGCATTACGGGCAACTCACCCTGCAGACCTTTTACCATCACTGGCCAGCAGCGATGTGAGGGAAAAGACTGCTGATGGATTGTGGCTGGGGTATAACTCCACATTCCGTGTTTACATCCTACCTGGTCCCCCAGGTGAATCTTGGCAGGACCACACAGACAAAGCAAGGGGACAATCCAGACGCCTCGTAGCACAGAAATGAGCCACTGGTAACCCCAAGAGAACACAGGCCCAGGAGAGGAGAACTCTGCCACACCCCTCCTGCAGGGTCACAGCCTTGCCTGACACGCGGGAAGGGTGGGTGCCCTCCAGGGATGTGAAAGTGAGACCCTGAGGGTGAGGGACCCCCTGCCCTCCTGGTAGGGTGGTTCTTCTAATTTGGCCCAGGACTTTTGGTAGAAAACACTCTATGGAGGCCAGCCTTTGAATGGGGCAGGTGGACCTGCACCTGGACACGATGCTGCCTGCAGCCGGGCTGGCTCTCTGCATGGGCTCAGTCCAGCTGCCTCCACTGTGCCCCTGAACTGGGCAAAGACACGAAGGGGGACGGCCTGCTCCGCCTAAACAGGCTGGCCGGAGCCTCATCCCCAGCAGCAGCACTCCTCAAAACACGTCTTCAACGTTCAGCAAGACGCTCGGCCCTGGTCTGGTAACCTGTCACGGTCCAGGGGCGCCAATCGCTCCAGCTGCCCCCCAGTATCGGCTGGGCGCAGGATACTGCCTCATCTAACCACTTTCTCACAGGAGACTCTACTGCCCATTACCGAATTGACGCTGACGGTCACCTTCCCCGGCAGAGCTCGCGGCGCGCTCGCCCGGCCCTCGGCCTCCCCCTCGGCTCTCGCCCTGCAGGGTACAGAAGCACCGCAGTGCTCACTCGGCGGGGCAGCCGCGTGCCAAGGGCCGGCGTGTGTGTATACACGCACGCACACTCACACGCGCGCGCACACCCCGCTGCGCCGGGGGCGCCCGCTCCCCCGAGCTTTCCAGAAGCCCCGCGGCGGCCCGGCCCTCACCTTCGATGGCGATGACGTGCTCCCGGATCTGGTTCTGCAGCACCGGCTCCTCCACGCGCTCCAGCAGCTCGTAGATGGAGTAGATGTTGGGGTGGACCGACTCGAAGCGCTGGATCTCGGCCCGGATGGCAGCCGAGTTGGCCAGCTGCTGCTGGTAGTTCATGGTGCAGGCGCCGCGCCCGGAGCCGCGCGCCCC